ATAGGGTAAGCTGCCAATAATTAAAGTCTTGTTTTCAAATTCTTTAAAAAATTGAAACAGGGGTAGGAGTATAAAATGTACTGTAAAAGGAAACTTAGAGTATATGCAGTGATTTCTTTAAGGCTATAATTCTGATAAATAAGTATTGTTGTGAGAAAAAGTGTTTTTAGAGAGTTTTCTATTTGAATAAATGTTTGTATATAGGGTTAAAAATTAGAACATACAGAATTTCACAAAATCTTGCTTATCTCAGAGATTTTGAAGAATTTAACTCAAATATGAAGTTTTATGAATATTTCATGAAGATTGAGAAAATCCTGGGCCTAAATTATGATGAGTCAGCATACATTCACAGTTTACAGTATGCATTGTTTACTTAAAGCCCTGAATTAAAAATAAATTCATAATATATGCCTATTTGTAATAAAAATTGTTTAGAAGTGCTTATATTTACTCTTCGCAGCCATTGCAACTCATTGATCCTTCTTAAATATTTTTGGTAGGGTGTTTTTGTCTTGTCGATAACCCAAAAGTAAGCCGTAACACCTAAATGTGCTTTTTTGTAACTGCGGCATAAAAAGTACAAGCTAGAATTACAAAAAGACCTCAATAAAACTTACAATAGTGTGTTCTATCCTAAATATGTACCAAATATTCCACATTGCTAGAAACAGGGAAAAAATTTAGGAAATGTGAGGCCCCAGGGGCAAAAAACTGAGAAAAATGCCTCCCCTGGGTCATAAAACAGATAATTTAACTTCTAAATGCTATGATTTTATTATTTTAAAGGTCTTTTGTAAAGAAAACAATAACTGTGCTAGGAGGTTATGCAAAAATCAGATGTAAGCAGTCATTTCTATCAAACTTTAAGTGAATTTATGCACCAGACTGATATCTTCATAAATGCAACTTTTTCAAATGTGGCTTTGTTTAAACACTTTTAGTTCATATATTAACTAACTTATGTTAGATATATGGTTAGGGATGATACTGCTGTAACATGAATTCTAAACTGACCATTTTAGGCAGAAATTGTGAACTTTCATTGACAAATAGGCATACAGTAAGATGTGGACTGGAGACACAGGCAGGATTGGATACTTTGTATATCTTAAATGTTGGAATGATTAACTACTAAACATTACATTTATAGTATTTTAAAATGCTTTCAATTTGTTATCAGAATAGTTTCAAACAGGTTTTAGACAGTTTATGTCAGAAAAAATGCACATAGGGTAAGCTGCCAATAATTAAAGTCTTGTTTTCAAATTCTTTAAAAAATTGAAACAGGGGTAGGGGTATAAAATGTACTGTAAAAGGAAACTTAGAGTATATGCAGTGATTCCTTTAAGGCTAAATTCTGATAAATAAGTATTGTTGTGAGAAAAAGTGTTTTTAGAGAGTTTTCTATTTGAATAAATGTTTGTATATAGGGTTAAAAATTAGAACATACAGAATTTCACAAAATCTTGCTTATCTCAGAGATTTTGAAGAATTTAACTCAAATATGAAGTTTTATCAATATTTCATGAAGATTGAGAAAATCCTGGGCCTAAATTATGATGAGTCAGCATAAATTCACAGTTTACAGTATGCATTGTTTACTTAAAGCCCTGAATTAAAAATAAATTCATAATATATGCCTATTTGTAGTTAAAATTGTTTAGAAGTGCTTATATTTACTCTTCGCAGTCATTGCAACTCATTGAACCTTCTTAAACATTTTTGGTGGGGTGTTTTTGTCTTGTCGATAACCCAAAAGTAAGCCGTAACACCTAAATGTGCTTTTTTGTGACTGCGGCATAAGAAGTACAAGCTAGAATAACAAAAAGACCTCAATAAAACTTACAATAGTGTGTTCTATCCTAAATATGTACCAAATATTCCACATTGCTAGAAACAGGGTAAAAATTTAGGAAATATGAGGCCCCAGGGGCAAAAAACTGAGAAAAATGCCTCCCCTGGGTCATAAAACAGATAATTTAACTTCTAAATGCTATGATTTTATTATTTTAAAGGTCTTTTGTAAAGAAAACAATAACTGTGCTAGGAAGTTATGCAAAAATCAGATGTAAGCAGTCATTTCTATCAAACTTTTAGTGAATTTATGCACCAGACTGATATCTTCATAAATGCAACTTTTGCAAATATGGCTTTGTTTAAACACTTCTAGTTCATATATTAACTAACTTATGATAGATATATGGTTAGGGATGATACTGTTGTAACATGAATTCTAAACTGACCATTTTAGGCAGAAATTGTGAACTTTCATTGACAAATAGGCATACAGTAAGATGTGGACTGGAGACACAGGCAGGATTGGATACTTTGTATAATCTTGAATGTTGGAATGATTAACTACTAAACATTACATTTATAGTATTTTAAAATGCTTTCAATTTGTTATCAGAATAGTTTCAAACAGGTTTTAGACAGTTTATGTCAGAAAAAATGCACATAGGGTAAGCTGCCAATAATTAAAGTCTTGTTTTCAAATTCTTTAAAAAATTGAAACAGGGGTAGGGGTATAAAATGTACTGTAAAAGGAAACTTAGAGTATATGCAGTGATTTCTTTAAGGCTATAATTCTGATAAATAAGTATTGTTGTGAGAAAAAGTGTTTTTAGAGAGTTTTCTATTTGAATAAATGTTTGTATATAGGGTTAAAAATTAGAACATACAGAATTTCACAAAATCTTGCTTATCTCAGAGATTTTGAAGAATTTAACTCAAATATGAAGTTTTATGAATATTTCATGAAGATTGAGAAAATCCTGGGCCTAAATTATGATGAGTCAGCATACATTCACAGTTTACAGTATGCAATGTTTACTTAAAGCCCTGAATTAAAAATAAATTCATAATATATGCCTATTTGTAATAAAAATTGTTTAGAAGTGCTTATATTTACTCTTCGCAGCCATTGCAACTCATTGATCCTTCTTAAATATTTTTGCTAGGGTGTTTTTGTCTTGTCGATAACCCAAAAGTAAGCCGTAATTCTGATAAATAAGTATTGTTGTGAGAAAAAGTGTTTTTAGAGAGTTTTCTATTTGAATAAATGTTTGTATATAGGGTTAAAAATTAGAACATACAGAATTTCACAAAATCTTGCTTATCTCAGAGATTTTGAAGAATTTAACTCAAATATGAAGTTTTATGAATATTTCATGAAGATTGAGAAAATCCTGGGCCTAAATTATGATGAGTCAGCATAAATTCACAGTTTACAGTATGCATTGTTTACTTAAAGCCCTGAATTAAAAATAAATTAATAATATATGCCTATTTGTAATTAAAATTGTTTAGAAGTGCTTATATTTACTCTTCGCAGTCATTGCAACTCATTGAACCTTCTTAAATATTTTTGGTAGGGTGTTTTTGTCTTGTCGATAACCCAAAAGTAAGCCGTAACACCTAAATGTGCTTTTTTGTGACTGCGGCATAAAAAGTACAAGCTAGAATTACAAAAAGACCTCAATAAAACTTACAATAGTGTGTTCTATCCTAAATATGTACCAAATATTCCACATTGCTAGAAACAGGGAAAAAATTTAGGAAATGTGAGGCCCCAGGGGCAAAAAACTGAGAAAAATGCCTCCCCTGGGTCATAAAACAGATAATTTAACTTCTAAATGCTATGATTTTATTATTTTAAAGGTCTTTTGTAAAGAAAACAATAACTGTGCTAGGAAGTTATGCAAAAATCAGATGTAAGCAGTCATTTCTATCAAACTTTAAGTGAATGTATGCACCAGACTGATATCTTTATAAATGCAACTTTTGCAAATGTGGCTTTGTTTAAACACTTTTAGTTCATATATTAACTAACTTATGTTAGATATATGGTAAGGGATGATACTGCTGTAACATGAATTCTAAACTGACCATTTTAGGCAGAAATTGTGAACTTTCATTGACAAATAGGCATACAGTAAGATGTGGACTGGAGACACAGGCAGGATTGGATACTTTGTATAATCTTAAATGTTGGAATGATTAACTACTAAACATTACATTTATAGTATTTTAAAATGCTTTCAATTTGTTATCAGAATAGTTTCAAACAGGTTTTAGACAGTTTATGTCAGAAAAAATGCACATAGGGTAAGCTGCCAATAATTAAAGTCTTGTTTTCAAATTCTTTAAAAAATTGAAACAGGGGTAGGGGTATAAAATGTACTGTAAAAGGAAACTTAGAGTATATGCAGTGATTTCTTTAAGGCTATAATTCTGATAAATAAGTATTGTTGTGAGAAAAAGTGTTTTTAGAGAGTTTTCTATTTGAATAAATGTTTGTATATAGGGTTAAGAATTAGAACATACAGAATTTCACAAAATCTTGCTTATCTCAGAGATTTTGAAGAATTTAACTCAAATATGAAGTTTTATGAATATTTCATGAAGATTGAGAAAATCCTGGGCCTAAATTATGATGAGTCAGCATAAATTCACAGTTTACAGTATGCATTGTTTACTTAAAGCCCTGAATTAAAAATAAATTCATAATATATACCTATTTGTAATTAAAATTGTTTAGAAGTGCTTATATTTACTCTTCGCAGTCATTGCAACTCATTGATCCTTCTTAAATATTTTTGGTGGGGTGTTTTTGTCTTGTCGATAACCCAAAAGTAAGCTGTAACACCTAAATGTGCTTTTTTGTGACTGCAGCATAAAAAGTACAAGCTAGAATTACAAAAAGACCTCAATAAAACTTACAATAGTGTGTTCTATCCTAAATATGTACCAAATATTCCACATTGCTAGAAACAGGGAAAAAATTTAGGAAATATGAGGCCCCAGGGGCAAAAAACTGAGAAAAATGCCTCCCCTGGGTCATAAAACAGATAATTTAACTTCTAAATGCTATGATTTTATTATTTTAAAGGTCTTTTGTAAAGAAAACAATAACTGTGCTAGGAAGTTATGCAAAAATCAGATGTAAGCAGTCATTTCTATCAAACTTTTAGTCAATTTATGCACCAGACTGATATCTTCATAAATGCAACTTTTGCAAATATGGCTTTGTTTAAACACTTCTAGTTCATATATTAACAAACTTATGTTAGATATATGGTTAGGGATGATACTGTTGTAACATGAATTCTAAACTGACCATTTTAGGCAGAAATTGTGAACTTTCATTGACAAATAGGCATACAGTAAGATGTGGACTGGAGACACAGGTAGGATTGGATACTTTGTATAATCTTGAATGTTGGAATGATTAACTACTAAACATTACATTTATAGTATTTTAAAATGCTTTCAATTTGTTATCAGAATAGTTTCAAACAGGTTTTAAACAGTTAATGTCAGAAAACATGCACATAGGGTAAGCTGCCAATAATTAAAGTCTTCTTTTCAAATTCTTTAAAAAATTGAAACAGGGGTAGGGGTATAAAATGTACTGTAAAAGGAAACTTACAGTATATGCAGTGATTTCTTTTAGGCTATAATTCTGATAAATAAGTATTGTTGTGAGAAAAAGTGTTTTTAGAGAGTTTTCATTTTGAATAAATGTTTGTATATAGGGTTAAAAATTAGAACATACAGAATTTCACAAAATCTTGCTTATCTCAGATATTTTGAAGAATTTAACTCAAATATGAAGTTTTATAAATATTTCATGAATATTGAGAAAATCCTGTGCCTAAATTATGATGAGTCAGCATAAATTCACAGTTTACAGTATGCATTGTTTACTTAAAGCCCTGAATTAAAAATAAATTCATAATATATGCCTATTTGTAATTTAAATTGTTTAGAAGTGCTTATATTTACTCTTTGCAGTCATTGCAACTCATTGATTCTTCTTAAATATTTTTGGTGGGGTGTTTTTGTCTTGTCGATAACCCAAAAGTAAGCCGTAACACCTAAATGTGCTTTTTTGTGACTGCGGCATACAAAGTACCAGCTAGAATTACAAAAAGACCTCAATAAAACTTACAATAGTGTGTTCTATCCTAAATATGTACCAAATATTCCACATTGCTAGAAACAGGGAAAACATTTAGGAAATATGAGGCCCTAGGGGCAAAAAACTGAGAAAAATGCCTCCCCTGGGTCATAAAACAGATAATTTAACTTCTAAATGCTATGATTTTATTATTTTAAAGGTCTTTTGTAAAGAAAACAATAACTGTGCTAGGAAGTTATGCAAAAATCAGATGTAAACAGTCATTTCTATCAAACTTTTAGTGAATTTATGCACCAGACTGATATCTTCGTAAATGCAACTTTTGCAAATATGGCTTTGTTTAAACACTTCTAGTTCATATATTAACTAACGTATGTTAGATATATGGTTCGGGATGATACTGTTGTAACATGAATTCTAAACTGACCATTTTAGGCAGAAATTGTGAACTTTCATTGACAAATAGGCATACAGTAAGATGTGGACTAGATACACAGGCAGGATTGGATACTTTGTATAATCTTGAATGTTGGAATGATTAACTACTAAACATTACATTTATAGTATTTTAAAATGCTTTCAATTTGTTAACTGAATAGTTTCAAACAGGTTTTAGACAGTTTATGTCAGAAAACATGCACATAGGGTAAGCTGGCAATAATTAAAGTCTTGTTTTCAAATTCTTTAAAAAATTGAAACAGGGGTAGGGGTATAAAATGTACTGTAAAAGGAAACTTAGAGGTTATGCAGTGATTTCTTTAAGGCTATAATTCTGATAAATAAGTATTGTTGTGAGAAAAAGTGTTTTTACAGAGTTTTCTATTTGAATAAATGTTTGTATAGGTTGCACTTTGTAAATACAGCTGTTTCGCAAACCACGCCTCTTTTGGGGAGATATATATTATTCATAGATATGTTAATTTGTTAACGTACTGGTTCCTATTTATGATCTCTGTGTTTCATTTCATAGAGACATCACTTGGGAATGTAACCAGTATAGAAAAACATGGTAGCGCCTAAATTTTAATTCTTAGGAGGTCCAAAAATGGAGGTAAGGGTAGTATAGAATTTTAGTATAAGTTTAAACTCTTAGAAGTTCAGGGCATATAAATGTTGAAAATATGCCGCACAGCCCTATATTTTGACCTTTGAATAAAATAGTTGTGCATATAAACTTTCCGTTCTAGGATATTATTTTTCACGAAACTTCATAGTAAAAGTGTCACATTTTTAGCCGCAAAGGGAGTTCCTATGGGAAATTGCATTGTCTATATTTACAGAATTGCAACCTATATAGGGTTAAAAATTAGAACATACAGAATTTCACAAAATCTTGCTTATCTCAGAGATTTTGAAGAATTTAACTCAAATATGAAGTTTTATAAATATTTCATGAACATTGAGAAAATCCTGGGCCTAAATTATGATAAGTCAGCATAAATTCACAGTTTACAGTATGCATTGTTTACTTAAAGACCTGAATTAAAAATAAATTCATAATATATGCCTATTTATAATTTAAATTGTTTAGAAGTGCTTATATTTACTCTTCACAGTCATTGCAACTCATTGATCCTTCTTGAATATTTTTGGTGGGGTGTTTTTGTCTTGTCGATAAGCCAAAAGTAAGCCGTAACACCTAAATGTGCTTTTTTGTGACTGCAGCATAAAAAGTACAAGCTAGAATTACAAAAAGACCTCAATAAAACTCACAATAGTGTGTTCTATCTTAAATATGTACCAAATATTCCACATTGCTAGAAACAGGGAAAAAATTTAGGAAATATGAGGCCCTAGGGGCAAAAAACTGAGAAAAATGCCTCCCCTGGGTCATAAAACAGATAATTTAACTTCTAAATGCTATGATTTTATTATTTTAAAGGTCTTTTGTAAAGAAAACAATAACTGTGCTAGGAAGTTATGCAAAAATCAGATGTAAGCAGTCATTTCTATCAAACTTTTAGTCAATTTATGCACCAGACTGATATCTTCATAAATGCAACTTTTGCAAATAAGGCTTTGTTTAAACACTTCTTGTTCATATATTAACTAACTTATGTTAGATATATGGTAAGGGGTGATACTGTTGTAACATGAATTCTAAACTGACCATTTTAGGCAGAAATTGTGAACTTTCATTGACAAATAGGCATACAGTAAGATGTGGACTGGAGACACAGGCAGGATTGTATACTTTGTATAATCTTCAATGTTGGAATGATTAACTACTAAACATTACATTTATAGTATTCTAAAATGCTTTCAATTTGTTATCAGAATAGTTTCAAACAGGTTTTAGACAGTTTATGTCAGAAAACATGCACATAGGGTAAGCTGGCAATAATTAAAGTCTTGTTTTCAAATTCTTTAAAAATTGAAACAGGGGTAGGTGTATAAAATGTACTGTAAAAGGAAACTTAGAGTATATGCAGTGATTTCTTTAAGGCTATAATTCTGATAAATAAGTATTGTTGTGAGAAAAAGTGTTTTTAGAGAGTTTTCTATTTGAATAAATGTTTGTATATAGGGTTAAAAATTAGAACATACAGAATTTCACAAAATCTTGCTTATCTCAGAGATTTTGAAGAATTTAACTCAAATATGAAGTTTAATAAATATTTCATGAAGATTGAGAAAATCCTGGGCCTAAATTATGATGAGTCAGCATAAATTCACAGTTTACAGGATGCATTGTTTACTTAAAGCCCTGAATTAAAAATAAATTAATAATATATGCCTATTTGTAATTTAAATTGTTTAGAAGTGCTTATATTTACTCTTCGCAGTCATTGCAAATTATTGATCCTTCTTAAATATTTTTGGTAGGGAGTTTTTGTCTTGTCGATAACCCAAAAGTAAGCCGTAACACCTAAATGTGCTTTTTTGTGACTTCGGCATAAAAAGTACAAGCTAGAATTACAAAAAGACCTCAATAAAACTCACAATAGTGTGTTCTATCCTAAATATGTACCAAATATTCCACATTGCTAGAAACAGGGAAAAAATTTAGGAAATATGAGGCCCCAGGGGCAAAAAACTGAGAAAAATGCCTCCCCTGGGTCATAAAACAGATAATTTTACTTCTAAATGCTATGATTTTATTATTTTAAAGGTCTTTTGTAAAGAAAACAATAACTGTGCTAGGAAGTTATGCAAAAATCAGATGTAAGCAGTCATTTCTGTCAAACTTTTAGTGAATTTATGCACCAGACTGATATCTTCATAAATGCAACTTTTGCAAATATGGCTTTGTTTAAACACTTCTAGTTCATATATTAACTAACTTATGTTAGATATATGGTTAGGGATGATACTGTTGTAACATGAATTCTAAACTGACCATTTTAGGCAGAAATATTGAACTTTTATTGACAAATAGGCATACAGTAAGATGTGGACTGGAGACACAGGAAGGATTGGATACTTTGTATAATCTTGAATGTTGGAATGATTAACTACTAAACTTTACATTTTTAGTATTTTGAAATGCTTTCAATTTGTTATCAGAATAGTTTCAAACAGGTTTTAGACAGTTTATGTCAGAAAACATGCACATAGGGTAAGCTGGCAATAATTAAAGTCTTGTTTTCAAATTCTTTAGAAAATTGAAACAGGGGTACGGGTATAAAATGTACTGTAAAAGGAAACTTAAAGTATATGCAGTGATTTCTTTAAGGCTATAATTCTGATAAATAAGTATTGTTGTGAGAAAAAGTGTTTTTAGAGAGTTTTTTATTTGAATACATGTTTGTATATAGGGTTAAAAATTAGAACATACAGAATTTCACAAAATCTTGCTTATCTCAGAGATTTTTCATTATTTAACTCAAATATATAGTTTTATAAATATTTCATGAAGATTGAGAAAATCCTGGGCCTAAATTATGATGAGTCAGCATAAATTCACAGTTTACAGTATGCATTGTTTACTTAAAGCCCTGAATTAAAAATAAATTCATAATATATGCCTATTTGTAATTTAAATTGTTTAGAAGTGCTTATATTTTTTCTTTGCAGTCATTGCAACTCATTGATCCGTCTTAAATATTTTTGGTGGGGTGTTTTTGTCTTGTCGATAACCCAAAAGTAAGCCGTAACACCTTAATGTGCTTTTTTGTGACTGCGGCATAAAAAATACAAGCTAGAATTACAAAAAGACCTCAATAAAACTTACAATAGTGTGTTCTATCCTAAATATGTTCCAAATATTCCACATTGCTAGAAACAGGGAAAAAATTTAGGAAATATGAGGCCCCAGGTTAAAAAAACTAGAAAAATGCTTCCCCTGGGTCATAAAACAGATAATTTAACTTCTAAATGCTATGATTTTATTATTTTAAAGGTCTTTTGTAAAGAAAACAATAACTGTGCTAGGAAGTTATGCAAAAATCAGATGTAAGCAGTCATTTCTATCAAACTTTTAGTCAATTTATGCACCAGACTGATATCTTCATAAATGCAACTTTTGCAAATATGGCTTTGTTTAAACACTTCTAGTTCATATATTAACAAACTTATGTTAGATATATGGTTAGGGATGATACTGTTGTAACATGAATTCTAAACTGACCATTTTAGGCAGAAATTGTGAACTTTCATTGACAAATAGGCATACAGTAAGATGTGGACTGGAGACACAGGTAGGATTGGATACTTTGTATAATCTTGAATGTTGGAATGATTAACTACTAAACATTACATTTATAGTATTTTAAAATGCTTTCAATTTGTTATCAGAATAGTTTCAAACAGGTTTTAAACAGTTAATGTCAGAAAACATGCACATAGGGTAAGCTGCCAATAATTAAAGTCTTCTTTTCAAATTCTTTAAAAAATTGAAACAGGGGTAGGGGTATAAAATGTACTGTAAAAGGAAACTTAGAGTATATGCAGTGATTTCTTTAAGACTATAATTCTGATAAATAAGTATTGTTGTGAGAAAATGTGTTTTTAGAGAGTTTTCTATTTGAATAAATGTTTGTATAGGTTACACTTTGTAAATACAGCTGTTTCTCAAACCACGCCTCTTTTGTGGAGATATATAATATTCATAGATATGTTAATTTGTTAACGTACTGGTTCCCATTTATGATCTCTGTGTTTCATTTCATAGAGACATCACTTTGGAATGTAACCTGTATAGAAAAACATGGTAACGCCTAAATTTTAATTCTTAGGAGGTCCAAAAATGGAGGTAAGGATAGTATAGAATTTTAGTATAAGTTTAAACTCTTAGAAGTTCAGGGCATATAAATGTTGAAAATATGCCGCACAGCCCTATATTTTGACCTTTGAATAAAAAAGTAGTGCATATAAACTTTCCGTTCTAGGATATTATTTTTCACGAAACTTCATAGTAAAAGTGTCACAGTTTTGGCAGCAAAGGGAGTTCCTATGGGAAATTGCATTGTCTATATTTTCAGAATTGCAACCTATAGCATGTTGCAAGACATTATTATGGTGAAACGGGGAAATCGCAGAAAGCATATTTGTGGTAATGTTCGATTATTTCAATTTTATTTTAGATATATGAAAATAGCGCCAAAAAGTATCAAATATTTTGTAGTTGACGCTGTTGACTGTTATGGATTATGTTCCAACGTCCAGCTTTTCACCTATACAACTGAAATGGCATATGTATCAAAGTGTTACCCTGCTGTGACTAGGTGTTATGTCTACGGTTATTCAAAATACGCGTGCGTTAACATTGTGCGGTTAAGGTTAGTGAGAAAAATTGTAGTGCCTCAGGATAATAACCACGCAATTAAATGAATAAAGAAATAAAGAAAAAAAGAAATAAAGAATGAAACTAAGTAAATAAATAAATTATGTATAAATATACTAAATAAATAAATGATTTGGAAAATACGTTGAATGTATTAAAAGTTCTATCCGGGCACTCTGGTTCAAAACCTTGGTTAAATCCGGGTCTTTTGGTTTTGAACCTTGGTTCTATCCGGGTTCTTTGGTTTGAAACCATGGTAACTGGTTCAACATCCGGGTTGTTTGGTTATAGGAACCCAACTTCTTGGTTCTGTCCTGGTTCTTCTAAATATTCCCGTATAACTTTGAGAAGATATCCGAAAGTGTCCGAATAAAGAGATAATAAAAGTAGGTCAAAGACGCTTATCTTGTTTTATATCATTATACATTCCAGCATCGCCGGAAAATGAAGCTGTAAGGTAAATACCTTCTCATTTTAATTATTTAACATGGAAAACTGGACAAAAATATAACATCGTATATATCTATATAAAAAAAAAAAACGGAAAACGAAAGTGATTTCATTTTTCGTAAGAAAACTAGCCCGGTCGTTAAAGTATACACAGTGGACAGTGGTTATCAGACCAATAGTATTCAAATCGGAGATAATGTCGACGAATGGAAAAGACTTTATCAATCTCAACAATAAGGGTGCATGATCGTTACTTTTAAGTTTTGAAAAGTTGGTAATCTAAGATGATTATAATTTAATGACAATAGTCCATCTGCCAATATTACACACGAACATTTAGGACGATAATCTGTTTTGCTTAGTAAGATCATTTGATTGAAAAACAAACTTCCGCAAGTTCACAATTCAAATCGGGGATAAGCATTCAATCATTTTGCCATTCGGGGCCTATTCGGGATGAGTTTTACTCATTTGTGAAGGCTATATGGTGACCTATACTAAAAGATATGGATGGGGGTTTACGGAATAAATAATGGGCAAAAAATTTAAAGAATAAAGAAAATGGACCAAACAATAAAGAATAGAGAATAATGAGGTGTTAATATATAAAGAATAGAGAATAATGGGCAAAAAGTATAAAGTATAAGGAAAAATGGCCTAACACATTAAAAAATACAGAAATGAAGGACCCCTATCCAGACCATCATACTAGTTGCCTATATCAACGTTATTTTGTCTCTGTTAGATTGTTATTGTCAATCATACGTTTTGTCTTTATATTTATGCCTATCAATTAACACGTGAGGTTCAATAATTTGCCAGCGTATGGTTACTTAACTTCTTTTGGTTTTTGGTGGCAAAATGTAAAACTTTATTAATTTATTGCGTCCGAGGCACTTTTTGGGTTTTATCTTTATCAGGAGGGTCAAGCGGGGAAAAAAACAGTACATTTCACCTGTTGGTACTGTAGCGTCACTATTCTTTCATTTTCTTGTGCGTGTTTTTTTTATTTACAGCAGGTAAGACTTTCATTTTCAAAACCTGTTACCCCCCCCCTTTCCCCCCCTCCCCCCCCCCCCCATACAGCTAGCAACGACAACAACAGAAATAAAGGCTCCTGACTTTAAACAGGCCAATATATTCGAGTGTACTACCCCACTCACACCTGGGTGGTGTAAAATCAGTTCATAAGAACAAAGTTGTTTTTCAGGTGAAATACCACCATTGATTTTCCCCTATTAGTCTTTGTTAAATTTGCACTTTTCAAAAAATTGTGCAGAATTTATCTTTGTATCAAATATAGAAATACTTGGCATGAGTAAAGTTTTATCCTGTCCAGTACTGTAGAAAAAATTTCACATAACATTTCATTGCATATAAGAAAATAACCATCACTGGAAGTTAACAAATCAAATTCTCCCCCTTTTTTAACCTGTGTACAAGCTTTAGTAACCATGTAACCTCAAGTATCCAAAATATTCTATAGAAACCCCAAATAAAAAAACAAAGGTGCTTTGAAATACCCAAGATATATGTTTATGACCCAGAAATGTTTTACTGCAATGAAATGTAGGATCAATTACCTACAACTGTCAAATTCAAGGGAATATTTTTTTCAACCTATTTTCGTATGCAACCGGATGTGACGTACTATGATTTGGTGGTATTACACCTAAAGAAGACTTTTTTGTTAAATAAACTGAATGTGACTTTTTTCCTTTGTAATACTGGTTATTTCAAGCATTCCTGTCAAGTTTTGTCATAATCAGTTCAATAGTTTGAGAAAAATCTAGTATCATGTTAGACGACATCTACAGCGATTCGAGCAAAATTTCTTCAAAAAATCCAAACCAAGCCGCATCATGATAGAATATAGTGTGGACCAATAAATGATCAAATATTTATCTCATCTGCCTACAAACAGTTGAATATGATACAAAAGATGACTTTAGTATGATAAATACTACTAATGGACCTCTTTGTCTTCCTTATAAGGTCTCTTTTGGTCCATTTATACCTCTCATTTCTTCAAAATTTCTACTTTTTAGGGCAATAAATAAAAATTTTGGGGTAACTTTCACTCATTTATGATAGAAATGTTATAATAAATGATTAATTGAAGTATTCAAGCTGAATGAACTATCCGTATAAAAGTTTATTGTCTCCAAGGAGGTTTCAATAAGTCCTTACGTAAAACTTAAATTTACGCCGCGTTCCAGAGAGGGACATAAAAAGCTTCTCTTTTGGTGAATAATTTGTTGTTACTGCTTTAAAAATAATTTCATTTACTTAAAACTATATATCTATTAAATTATTTCTGAGGAAAAATTTTCTAGTATAGCAGAATATAAGAAATAAGGAGAAAAAGCTCCCCAAAACTCGAAGTATGGCTTGTTCTGTCAACTAATATTCATGGTAAAGTCCTATTTCAAGGAAATTTTCTCATAAAATGTGTTTTGGAGACTCAATCCACTCAGAATATTTCATAATTTGTAATATTTCACTTAAATAGCAAGAACTTTTAACACATGAGAGTACTCACAAGGTCAAAGGTGCATGTACAGCTTCCCATATTAGG